TCAAAAAAAAAAAAAAAAAAAACCATAAGGAAGAGAATATATTTACTACTCAGTAAACAGAATGGGATCTTCATAAAGGCTTTTCTCCTTATCTTCCACTTGAGTAGACCAAGGAGGAGAAGGAGGAAGGGGGGTTGGGCTTAGGTCTCAGAGGTGGCAAAGGCAGAAGAAAACCTGAGTATGGGTGGGCCTGAGTAGGCTGAGGCCATGTTGTTCAAGAGTCAACTGTGTGAGAGCATCTGCACTCAAGAGTACAAAACAAAGAAGCTGATTTATAATAACAATGTCTAGAAGGAAATCAAATGGGATAATAAACATTAACCAAAGAAACCTTGGGTTCACATTTCGGGTACTTCTCTGAAGATAATAATCCCTCAGGACTATACATAGAGATTTGACCCCTTAGTCAATGAATATTTTCTGATTAGAGAAAAAAGTGAGAATAAAAATTTTTTCTTTAGCTGTAATAGACCTGGTCACTAATGCCCTCTAAAAACACCATTCCAGAAATTCAGATATTACCCAGAGACGCTGCGAGGTTTCATGTCTTCTAAGGACTTGGCCAGGATGGCAGGAGACAGGCTGGGATAGAGGACACCAGTTCCCTTTAGCTGGCAGTCCCTTCTGAGTCTCAGCACCGTCTTGGTTTGTGCAGTTAAGAAACACCTTAAGGTTGGGTACAGTGGCCTCTTGCCTATAATCCCAGCACTTTGGGAGGTTGAGGCAAGTGAATTGCTTGAGCTCAGGAGTTTGAGACCCATGTGGGCATTATAGACCTCATCTCTACAAAAAATTAGCCAGGCGCACCCGTAGTCCCAGGCACTCGAGATGCTGAGGTAGAAGAATTGGATTGCGAGAGCCAAGAGGTCGTGGCTGCCATGAGGTGTGATTTCCATGATCATGTCAGTGTGCTCCACCTGGGCAACAGTGAGACACTGACAAAAGAAAGAAAGAGAAAGAGAAAGAAAGAGTGAAGAGAAGAGAAGAGAAGAGAAGAGAACTGCCTTGATATGTCAAAAGTGAAATGGAATAAGCTACCTCCCTTCCTCCTTTGACTCATCCTTACAATAAGGCCGCATTTCCTGTTTAGAAGTCTCACCTGGGGACTGCCAGTCAAGGTGGCACACAGAGTGGGGCCTCGCTTTGCCAGGCCCCCTTTACTCCAAACACTTGACAGCGTGAGAGTACATGTAAAAGGAGAAAACCAGGCTCCACCAACTTCACAAACAAGACACACATTTTCAGGGACCCCAAAGTGGAAGATGTTTTGTGGGGACAGGAGGCTGAGTGCTACCCTTGGGACATCTTCAGGGTCCTCCCTCACCTAGTGTAGCTTTGTGTGGACCATCCCACCTTCTTCCATCAGAATGCAGCTTCCTTCCCCTTTCCTGTTTCCCGTTGTCCTCTCAGGGGGAGCTGTGAGCAGAGGTCTCCTGACTCTGCTGTCTTCAGGAGTTTCCTGCCTTGCTTTTGATCCAGGAGTATGGCATGGATACACTGAATATATATATATATATATATATATATATATTTTTTTTTTTTTTCTGTCGCCCAGATTGGAGTGCAGTGGCCGCTCCTGGTCACTGCAGCCTTGACCTGCTGGGCTCCGGTGATCCTTCTACCTCAGCCTGAATATATTTTTGATAAAACAAGTGTTTGTATGATTTGGAAACTGGAAGGCTGGGTGTGGTGGCTTATGCCTGTAATCCCAGCACTTAGGGAGGTTGCGGCAGAATGACTGCTTTAGCCTAGGAGTTTGAGACAAACCTGGGTAACATAGAGACACCTCATCCATACAAAAAAATCAAAAAATTATCCAGGCATGGTGGCATGAGCCTATAATCCCAGCTACTTGGGAAGCTGAGGCAAGAGGATCACCTGAGCCCAGCAGTCTAGGCTGCAGTGAGCCATGAGGGTACCACTACATTCCAGCCTGGGCTACAGAGTGAGTCCTCAAGAAAGAGAGAGAGAGAGAGGG